AGATGATATTATTACTTTTTAATGGTACTTAACCATCTAGCAGTTGTATGGAAACTTTAAATAAGTTTGATAAAAGAATTGATTTTTTATTAACTTAATTTTATTACCCGTTTATTACTATAAAGTACATATATATATGCGTGTAAGTTTAATACATATAGTTGCTAAGAATCGCCTTTCTATTTTAATTGAATGATTAATTATAAAACAGATGCTGAAGAATAAAGTATAAATTATTTTGAGAATGAGTTAGTAATTTATCTCTAGTCAAATAAAAACAATTTCAGCATAAGTTTTTCTTCTTAAAAAACCTCTAATATACAATATTCATTTAAGTTTAATGAATACTAAAGTAATGATGATTATAATGATTATAAAAGTATTTTGGGAATTGATCTGAGTTCTTATTGCCCAAGGAAAATAAATAGATATCAGAAGCGTCTTGTTCCGTTTATATTATTTTTCATTCAGAATCTTGTAAAAGATCCCTTCTTTTTATTCTTACCTAGTTTGGCCTTTTTATAGTTGTGGTGTCTAGCATCTCTCCAACCAGAAGTGCTGACTTTTTTATCATTAGCTTCCTTTTTAGCTTCTTCTTCATTTTTCAATAAAGTAGCTTCATCGATTTCCATACCTTCTTTTTCCTTCAAGTCTTTTAACTTTTGATTAATCAAATCTTTCTTTAATTTATCAGCAACTCTTGAAGCTCTATCATCGACAACCTTTTGGAATACACCCTTACGAATAACAGATTTCGCATTTAGACGAGTACTTGCACGTAATGATTTAGCCATATTGATTTAGGTTATATTGTTCTTGTCTTTTGTCAATTTCTAGAAATTATGAAGATTTATAAGATTTATAAAATAATTTAAGAAATATACTAATTAGAATTACAAATAGTTTAAATGATTATCTAAACTCTAGATCCTTCCTATCCCTCTAGTTGCCGCTAAGGGTACATCAGTCAAAACTATTAACACTTTGCTCATCTCATCTCATCTCATCTCATCTGAGATCAATTGCATATTATGGCGATGGATCTAACCATTATTGAGATATTCTGAAATTAAAATTTTTCAAAAATTCGAAATTTTCCAAAAGCTGAAAAAAGAAAAAAAGAAAAGTTCAAACGTTACCCGGGCAACATTGACCGATTTTGTTTTTTCAAAAACTTTCAAGTGACTGTTCTCCATCCGCACACCTTAAATGTATACTGAAAATTATTTCCAAAAAAAACAAAATAATCAAATTGAAACTTTTTTTCATTGGAATTGGTAGTTGGTGAAGACAAACCAGATGAAGAAAATGTGAATTCGAAGATAGAGAATAACTAATCACTAGGTTATGCTAGTTATGGTATCTACTTCCGGTAATAATGATTACATGTTGAATTATTTACCCAGTAGTGTGTGTATTTGTGTAAATTTATCCTCTTTGGTATACCTTCCAACCCACCCAAATGTTTTTCTATCTTGTTCATGTCGTTCTTCACTATTTCCTTTCGCCTTGTGAGAAGCAGCACCATAGTGCCCATAAGGCCCAATAACTTAGATCGGATTCCTTCGGCCTACTTCCAACTTCCTCTTTCCTCCAGGCTGAACATTGAGAGAATGCTCTGCCTAGAGAAAGATTGATTTCCCACTGGAGAGACCTCTTCTGTCTAAAAATAATTTTGTTGTTTTTTTTCAAATACACACCCACTCACTCATCATAATGTTTTCTTGATATTTATCACAGAATTGCAATATTGCATGAAACTTTTGACCTCGTTCAATCTGATGGTGATGTTAACCTTACTATTGGCAATTACAGCAATTTCAACTATATTCCATTATGATCTTGCTACTTTGTCCTGGCTTCTCTAAGTCAGCATCATCGTTTTTATTTCGATTTGTTTCCAAACCCGTTTCATGTTTAATCTTACTCTGAACTAGCCTACTGCCAGCAAGACCTTCACCATCCTCATCCTCATCATCATAATCATTGTCATCATCAACAGTATCTATCTAATTTGGTTTACTCTTTGGTACTATGTCATCACCGGCTAGACCACTTACCACTGGATAGTGTAGTTAGTTTGCTCTGCTCTGTAATGAATATCCCAAGAATGAATATTCGTTAGATTAGAAGCTCAAATTCAAAACGGGTTTAAATAAAACATATATGTACATTTAAATATATTCTTGTTACTTGCTATTAAAGAGACCATATTCGAAGCTCACCAAACAAAAATGTATGTAATGAATGATTTTAAGCACTGAAAGTGTACCACTTTTGTCGACTATTGGAAAATTGCAGATAGAATTTTTTGAAATTGAATTATAGAGAATATGCACATATCTTTTCCAATTATAACTAGACTTATCATTGAATAAAATAAATTGAGATGAAATCTATGAGAACCAAATATGTATGAAATCGAAGAATAATAAATTACACCTAAAATTTACTACTGATTGTTGATATTGCTATTACTATGATATATGTAAGATAAATGATTAAGGAACAAATAATTGTAATGAGATGTATTGTTAAACAAATACTCTAGTACTTATCCAAAAACTAGGAGATCTATTCAAATATGGGAAAATGTTTCAAAATTAAACTTTAATGGAACTAATCATAATATTAAAGGGAAATTGGTGTTTAATTATAAAAATAATAAATGGATGTTAGCCAAAGCAAAAATGGATTGTGAATGTGCAAGTAGGATTGGATAGTCATATTCTACTTACCAGCTAATTTAAGTAAAAAACATGTGTCATTTCCAATGGTTTGATTGAATATAATACGAATTTTATTTATACTAACAATTTTATTTCAATTTAATGTTTTAATTACAGGGCTAACTTACGTACTCAAAAGAGACTTGCCGCTTCTGTCATCGGTGTTGGTAAGAGAAAGGTTTGGTTAGACCCAAACGAAACCTCTGAAATTTCCCAAGCCAACTCCAGAGAATCTATTAGAAGATTGGTCAAGAATGGTACCATCGTCAAGAAGGCCGTCACTGTTCACTCCAGATCCAGAACTAGAGCTTACGCCGAATCCAAGAGAAACGGTCGTCACACTGGTTACGGTAAGAGAAAGGGTACCAAGGAAGCTAGATTACCATCTCAAGTTGTCTGGATCAGAAGATTACGTGTCTTGAGAAGATTATTGGCTAAGTACCGTGATGCTGGTAAGATTGACAAGCACTTATATCACGTTTTGTACAAGGAAGCCAAGGGTAACACTTTCAAGCACAAGAGAGCTTTGGTCGAACACATCATCCAAGCTAAGGCAGATGCTCAACGTGAAGCTGCTTTGAAACAAGAAGCTGATGCTAGAAGATTGAAGAACAGAGCTGCTCGTGAAAGAAGAGCTCAAAGAATCGCTGAAAAGAGAGAAGCTTTGTTGAAGGAAGACGCTTAATTAGTTTAATTTAATATAGATTTCCATCATTCATACTATCTATCTATGTATCTATAGTATCACAAAATACATAAGTTTTCTAAATTTATATTTATAATCCATTGTTAAATTTCTATTAGGATTGGTCTTGTTCACATGAGAAACTTAATATTTTTTATTAATACATTCGACGTACTATTTTTGCTAAGTTCTATTCATTTGAACTTTAGCGATTTATGAATAAACTATTAATATACATAGAGTCTAATTAATTTTATGATTAGGAATATGAATATCAACCACAGATTTATGCAGGGATAAAGTTTGTACTTCATGGTAACTTTATCTGCTTTCAAGTATCATGTTGTTATCTCAGAAAAGACCCTGGATCTCACCATCTTCATCTACCTCCACATTCATATAACCAGCATATGTGGAAAGGCCGGGTATAGTTTGGATTTCAGAGGCCAAGGCGTATAAATAACCGGCACCTATCGATGCTCTAACATCCCTAATAGGAAAAGTGAACCCAGCTGGGACACCTTTCAGTTTTGGGTCGTGTGAAAGTGAGTATTGTGTCTTGGCAATACATATAGGTAAGTTACTAAATCCTTGCGATTTATATAGTTCGATCTTCTTCTTTGCCTCGGGACTTAATTCAATATCAGCACCATTATACATCTTTTGTACAATTGTAGTTAGCTTTTCTTCAATTGGGGCCTCGACATCATACAAAAACTTAACTTCAGAAGCTTTATCAGATGCTCTAATTACAGCTTTTGCTAAATTAATAGCACCTTTACCGCCTTCTTCCCAATGATTTGTTGCTACGGCATCTTCAGCTCCCGCATTGATTGAAGCATCTCTAATAGCTTGTATTTCAGCATCAGTATCGGAAGAAAATTTGTTGATTGCAACAACAACAGGAACCCCGAATGATTTAGCATTTTCGATTTGTTTGCATAAGTTGCTAACACCCTTCCTTACCAATTCAACATTTTTTTCCGTATATTCAGGAGGCAATTGTTGACCTGGTTTCACATCAGGGGCACCGCCGTGTAACTTTAAGGCCCTTACAGTAGCTACTAATACGACAGCATCTGGTTTCAAGTTTGAAGAGCGGCACTTAATATTGAAGAATCTCTCACCACCCATAGTAAAATCAAACCCAGCTTCTGTAACAACGTAACCGGGTTCCGCATCGTTTTTATTCAAAGGAGTACCTACTAACTTCAACGCAATTTTATCAGCAATAACTGAGGATGCACCAATTGAAATATTAGCAAATGGACCAGCATGTACCATGACTGGGGTACCCTCCAAACTTTGCATTAAGTTTGGTTTGATAGCATCCTTTAATAGAGCAGTTAAAGCACCAGCACATCCAATATCTTCTACTGTAATTGGTTCACCGGAGTTATTAGAGCCAATAACAATTGATCCAATACGGGACCTTATATCTTTTAAATCTTTAGATAGAGCTAAAACCGCCATTAATTCGGAAGCAACAGTAATATCGAATCCAGTAACTCTTGTTTGACCTTTTTCTGTCGGAGCTTGACCAATTGTTATCTGTCTTAACATTCTATCATTGATGTCAACAACTCTCCTGATGGTAATACTCTCAGGGTCAATATCCAATCTTGCAAATTTTTTGATTTCTTCTGGTGTCAAATCATCAGGATTTGTTTTATTTATTCCCAATTTTTGTAATCTTCTCAACATTGAAGGAGTGAATGTACGTTTACCTCCCTTCTTAGGAACCAACCTATTGTAAAATGTTGCATCATTCTTTTGAGTATTTTCGTGAAACATCCTTGTATCTATTGCTGCGGCTAATAAATTATTTGCTCCTCCAATTGCATGGATATCACCAGTAAGGTGCATATTGAATTGATCCATAGGAATTGCTTGTGCATACCCACCTCCAGCAGCACCACCCTTAACACCAAAGGTTGGACCCATTGATGGCTGACGAACGGTTGCTACTGATGGTTTCTTTAAGTGAGCGGTTAGAGCTTGAACCAATCCTAAAGTAGTGGTCGATTTTCCCTCACCTAAAGGAGTTGGGGTAATACCAGCAACAAGAATATATTTACCATCTTTGCGATCTTTTATTCTATCCAGGACTGACAAGGATATCTTGGCCTTGTAGTGGCCATATAATTCTAATTCACTGTCTCGAACGCCAAGTTCTTCAGCAACCTTACCAATATATTTTGGTTGTTGAGCTCTTGAAATATCAATATCTGATGGAACAGGCCTTTTCAAATGTAATGGAAGTGGAGTTATATGCGGCGGTTTTTCAGATTCAAACAGTTGTCTCTTTGCTGCGGTCAACACGTTTTGTACCAACATCGCAACAGTCATTGGTCCAACACCACCAGGTACTGGGGTAATAAATGAAGCTTTCTTTTTAGCAGATTCATAATCGACGTCACCAACCAATTTTTGACCTGATTTTTTTGTCGAATCAGGTAAATAATTAATCCCGACATCTATAACTACTGCACCATCTTTCAACCATTCTCCTTTCACGTATTGTGCTTTACCGCAAGCAGCGACTACGATATCAGCTTTTGAAACAATTTCTTCAATATTTTTAGTTCTACTGTGACAAACAGTAACAGTTGCGTTCTTGTTCTTCAACAAAGAAGCCATTGGAGTCCCTACAATATCAGATCTTCCAATAATTACGGCATTCTTACCTGATAGATCGATGTTAGCCTCCTGTAACAATTTCATACAACCGTTTGGTGTACAAGGCAAAAAAAATGGTTCGCCACCTTTTTTTGATAATTCACCAACATTATAACGATGAAACCCGTCAACATCCTTTGTGTAAGATACTGCATTTGTAATTAAAGTTTCATTTAGGTGTTTTGGAAGTGGTAATTGGATTAATAGAGCATGAATTGAATTATCAGCATTGATATTCTCAATTCTATTAAGCAATTCAGCTTCGGAAATATCTTTTGGTAAATGTTCCAAGATACAATTAACGCCACTTTCCTTTGAAGCTTTCAATTTCATCTTAACATATGTTGAAGAATCGGGCTTGCTGCCTACTTGAATAATCTTTAAAGTAGGTTTGAAATTTGGATTCAATTTCTTAATGTCTTCGATTTCCTTAAAAGCTTGCACCCTCAATTCTTTAGCTGTTTTAGTGCCTGAAAGGATATGGTATGAAGAGTTTTGGAAAAATCTATTGGTACCAATAGATTTGCTCAATTTCAACATTCTAAACGTCTGTTGGAAATTTTGGGTTCTAATCATCCCCATTTAACAATATATTCTTAAAAAACCGTTCTCTTCCCAAAAAATAGTTCCAACAATTTCTTTACTTTATACTTGTATAAACAATATTCTTGACTGATTGTCAATCTCTCAAATAACCTATAATATAATAACAATTTACAATTAATCTCATAACCATCGCAACATTTCTCAATCTCATCCATTTTATATTATAATAAATCTTTCGATGACTTAATTAGATTTGTCATTCTGGAATAACACCATTTCTATTTTTCCGACTCTTTCCACATTTATTAGCACATTGCATCTTTAATTATTGTACGGCTGTTTCTAAAATACACCTTCCCCATGGAAAAAGACTCCTGTCTAAAATTTTGGTCACATGCTCTAACAAGATAATGGGTAATGTAATGAAATATAAGGAATGTCAGTCTCTTTCGAACTCTCTTTATATGAATTCTAACTACTAGGACTGGACCCAACTATTTAATGACAACAGTTGATACAAGAACATCAGAGTTATCGATATAAAAGTTCAAAATCGATGCATTATATGTGAATGCGGATTTCCTTGTACATTCTTGTGATGGATGATGTTTTAAGAAGACAACTTAACTCTGTCATATTAAGAACTTACTATATAGAAATAATTAAAATAATTATTAGTGTATTCATTTATTAAATTCGTTGTTGATTGAAGTTCGTGAATTATATATAATTAATTAAAATTACTATGTGGACATTTAAGTTTGAAACAGATGCATTTATGGAATATTTTATAAGTGTTCTTTGAAATTTATGTATCATGACTAGGAGTTGGAACCAAATATGGGGATGAGCTGATATATGTATATTATCTGAAACCGTAATTGGAAGGTGAATCTATGAAATCTTCTCTGATTGGTGATATACCCATACCCATATAAATCAATCTTCGGTTACCATTAAAATTTGGTGGTGATTGGGAGCGATAGTATTGAGATTGGCCAAAGTAATGGTGTGGAACCATTGGTGGTGGCATCTGTGATCTATCCACCTCGATATTTTGTTGATATGGCATTTGATAACGTCCTATAGGTGACATTACTTGTTGTGGGAAATAAACATTACGAATACCCATGTTGCTACCATTATTATTTATGTTGTTATTCATATTGTTACCGTTACCGTTGTTATTCATACCCATGTTCATATTCATGTTCATATTCATGTTCATATTCATATTCATATTCATATTTGGTGGCATCATTTGTCCTGGTGAATTTGGAGTGATAGTTAAAGGCATATTTACCGATTTCTGCTGTTGATTTTTTGAATAACTTCTACTTATTAAATCCCTCTGTTGTTTTTCAACGTCTCTAGCTAATTTCAATAAGACTTTTTCTGGTAATTGTACTTTTTTAGCTTTTACTTTAGAGAAATTTTTTGAATATCTCTTAGCTGGAATGCATCTATAATCTTTTAAATTTTCATAAATTACCTTTGCATGATCTAAAGGAGTTGTTGGAATTATTCTATCTTGTATCAATTGACTTGTAGTTAGTGGTGTGATTAAACTTGACGATAAAGCAGAAGGAGTACCAGGTTTAAAAGTACCGTCACTATCTGGTCTTTGTAAAGTTCCGATAATTTCTTGGAAAACTTTATAGAAATTTTTACTTGATTCAGCAGTATGTCTAGCGCCATTTTCTATCAATTCGTACATTTCTTCTTCCAATTTATCTAATTTAATATGACTTTTAATCTTTGAATGAATTGATTTTTTTAATACTTGAATATGAGAAGATATTTGTTTTTTAGTTCTGACTTCACCAGTCATGTATTTTATATAACATGAGATCAATTCATTTCTGCCATAATTTTTATCCATTATTTTAATTTTATAAGTGCCGTTTTTAGTAATCAATCTTAAAGAATCTAAGAATGCATTTTCTACAGCACTTGGCCATTTGTCATTCAGGTATAATGAATTGGAAGAATTTAGACCAGTTGTGATTGGGGTATTAAACTTATTGGAACTTGAAGATTCTTCTTCTTCTTCTAATGATAAACGTAATTTCTCTTCATTTGGTATTTTTTTCTTTGATTTTATTCTTTCAAAGAAATCGCGATTGAGCTTAGTTGAATCTTTACCTAAACCAGTATTTAACAATTCTACATCATCTTCGATGTTATCGTCATTGTTACCACTACTGTTACCATTATGCTTTTTATTTTGATAAGTGAAAATATCAGGAGGTAAACGCATGACATGCTTTTCATCATCCATGTATACATCGAAAACTTTCACTTCCATAATATCAAGGTTTTCATCAGTGGGTCCTACAACCTCGTTGCTGGAAGTAATGGCACTATTCGTATTATCCTCTTCACTAGACGATGAATTCACATCTATTACATCTTTAGATCTCTCGATCTCTCTTTCACTTGGATAAAGTCTCTGTATCGTCTGCATAGTATATTAAATTAACGAAACAGAATGAAACTTGTTAGAGTTGGGACGATGGCTTGTAATATTATGTCGAGTTTCCCTCTTTTAAAGTATTGCCCAAAAAAAAAAATTCGATCTAGTAGCACCAATTAAATTTTCAATACCATTCAAAATGTAACTAATCTAAAAACAATTACTGAAATATGCAGTCTCGAATGGATACAGATTCAATAAATTGACAAAGATTAAAGGGCGTGCGAACAGGTATATTCTATCAATCCAAACTCAATTGACTATTATTAGTCCAGATATTCCAAAATGGTGATGAGATAGAAATAGAAAAAAGTGTGCCTGTTTCCAGATGTTGAACTCTTTTCAAGTATGTCAGTGTGTCCTTCCTGGTTGTCTGCCTGAAAAAACAACGTACAGATATCGAAATCGAAATCGAAATAGAAGTTTAAAAAAATTGTTTGCTAGAATCCTTACTTGTAAGAAAATAATGGAAAAAGTATCTTTCGATCAGTTCAGTTGAAAGAAGCGAGATACCAGATAGAGAGGATTGAGATGTCACACAGCGTGGGGAGAGAGGGGCAGTGGATGAGAAACGAAAGGATAAGGAATGGGAATGGAACGGGAAAGATGGGCTGTTGTAAGTTCGTAGATAGTTGAGTGTATTCAAATTCGAATTTGAAGTAGAACTTGAACTTGAGCTTTGAACTTGAATTAAAACTTGAAATTTTAGATTCGAATTCGAATTCGAGCAGTTATAGATGGAGGAGCGTAAAGGCGAAAAGGGGAAAAGTATGTGTCTTCAGCACCAAAAAAAAAAAAGTTTGGTTAATTAGCGTGTCTGATAGATAACGTATCAGATAAGGAATCTCTTAAGAAATATAAAAGATAATTATTGTTGTTAGAGTATTTGGTTATGGAGTTTAAAAAAGAGGTTTTTTGTATGTATTTAAATTTAATATTATATTATTTTCCTTAATTTGGGAAAGATGTGAAGAGGTAAATTGGTAAATTGATGTTTATTATATATTTTTTAGGCTTCAGTTGAAACTGGTTAAAAAACCAAAAAAAAAAAAAGCAAAGTAAAGTAAAAATAATAACAACGATAGTAATAGTAATAAGAATTATAATAATACTAATTGCACTGACAGTTATTCTGACTGTTTAAGAAAAGAAAGAGAGATTGCATAGATTGTTCTTACTTTAATTTAAATTGTTTCCTTTTGACTGATACTGATTGATAGAGGACGAATAAGATGATTTGTATGTATCTTCTTTAGTCTTCTTCTCCTGTTTTATCTTTTTTTTTTTCTATTCTTGTGTTATTGTAGTAATTTAATTAAATTCAAACAAGATTACGATTACGATATTAGGCCACCCTAAAAAAGGTATCTACACATTAATACCATGACACCTCTATCGAATTCAGGCAAAGGAAACCTCCCATTAAAAGACTAGATAATTATTCTAGGTTACAATGAACTAAACAACTGAGGGAAAAATTATAAATTTAACCATGCTACAAATTTATTGTTACAAAGGCGGAATCTGTTACATCATCAGAAAATGCATACCTTATTCTTATTCTATGTAATTTAATTTATTTTTCCCAAAACATGTTCTCTGCGTACATAACGTGAATGCATGAATAAATAAATAAATTACACCAGACAAGATCCAGAAAACTGAAGTCGATGTGCATCTCTCTAGATTATTGATGATGATGAATGACGCGGTGTAACACCAAAATTCAGCTTTATTACTTCAATTTCAAATCCGAATATTTTTTATTTTGGTTCTGGTTTCCCAAAACAAGAACCGTACCAAGATTTCTTAATGAATCTAGATTAATAATAGAAAAGAAAATCCTAAACAGAACCAACTGCCTACTTTACAAGAAAATATCTGCTAGACAGTAACACTTACTCAGATACGAAAAAAAAAAAACATCAAAATATAAAGGAAATATGTGAAAAAGTACCCTACTCACACAATATCTCTAGAACACAGGCTTCCAGACTAGCTAAGGCCAATGCCTATTCAACAAAACCGTTGTTTGTTTGTTTTGCTTTTTGGTATTTCCATATGATCTCACATCAAGAATGTCATCATATATTAAAACAGGAAATTTTAATTGAAGGTGGGAAAAGTTGTATCGAAGCAAAAATGCTTTCATTAAAACATTCTCTTCAAAGACAAAAATTCTTGTACAACTAAAATTATTATTAATATCTTGTTTACACATGTTGTGTGAAAAGCAGTCTAACAGCAAGGATATTGTAACTACTTTCTCTAGTGATTTAACTAAAAGTTCTGATAACCTGACTTTTTTTTCCAGTTATATAACTACTACTTAGGCCACTTATGCGTAGTTTTTTCTTGTATCACTAACTACCAATAAAAATGGTTGTTGTCTTCTTAAAGATACAGACAAAGTTGTACGCCCTTTCTGGTTCTTGAGAAGTTCTAGTTTAGTTTGTTTTATGGTCCAAGTTCAAGAGAGGTAAACTGCTTTAGGACGTTCTTGTCCTGTCCAAATTGACTCTAAATCTTTCTGCACCAGAGTATAACGAATCAATTAATTCATTTAAAAGATACAGCAGCATTTAATAGGAAATTCAAATGGTTTATGTTCACTTGAGTAATTGCAACAATAAAGTGTGTTACGTGTATACTTAAGAATACTCATACTGGGTACAGTGGTTTTTTAATATTTCTGTACTATATCATTAATTTTTCTTCAAAATGAGGTCTATTCTGTTCTGATCTCTGAAGCTGAGAACGAACAAATTCGAAGTTTCGAAATTATTTAGACAGCAAATTTTAATTTGCTGTCCTTTACATATTAATTAGAAGAGATTGAATTAGAGGTGTTTAATCGAAGCTAAAAAGACTAGCAACAGTAGATATTTCGGACAACTCTAACTAAGTTTTATACATCCATTTTTAACAGTCGATCTTTTTTCTTTCCAAGCAAGACATCATATCATAGGCTAGAATTTCATAAGATACATCAGTAGAAACTGCCTAGATTTGGGTTCATATGTTTGAAATGAAATATGGGTTGATGTTTTTTGTCTTATCTTGTTGAATGTGTATTCGGCTTTGAAATGCTGTGTAATAAGTTCATGAATGCATATTAAGATTTAAAATAGAATTTTTGAATATAATTATTATCACAATTTTTAGTATTATTTTTTTACTTCTTGAAAGATGAGTAAAAATAAAAACTTCAACCAAGAAATATAATATCTGAGACACTTATTCACCAAATTGGGATTATCATGTTTTAAAATATCTTTTTAAAATATTCCATCTTTGGATGCACTATTTTTAAAGAGTGGATATCCCAGTTTAAAGATTTGATGTTCTTTCCAGTATATTTTGTTCAAGATAAAAATCGGATATAGACAATTAATTATTATAATTTATTGTCTGGCCCTTTATTTTCTACAGGGTTTGTTCAGAAGGTACACTACTTCATAATTTACCCTTCTTCTGGAGCGGAATCATTACTCATCTAAGGAAATTGCCAAAACTAGAAGAGTTGGTAAGTATAAGAGACAATGGATTTTGTAGGATTTTATAGGATTTTATAAACATCAAGATCCGTAACCGTATTTAAAATTAGAATAAGAGATAGTTTTCCGATTTAATATAATAATAGTCTTGTCTTTATTCGAGTAATATTTGTTTATTTCTACTTGAATTCGTTTGAAGGGGGAAAAAAGTACTTTATAAACTTGCCTACGGTACTCTTCAATACTAAACAAACTAGACCTATACGGTCAAGACTTGAAAAACCAATCAGAACTGTCTTTACGATTAACAATTGAAAGCAATAAACCAAAAAAATCGGTACATTAAGGGTTGATGTCTGTATTTATTTTTCCAATTAGTTTATTGTCATGAAAATTATTTTAATGAGTAATAGGAGCAATTGATATCTAACTCTTCAAAGTAAGGCCTACCGTGTATAGCAAAAATATAACATGATTTCTATCTTTAGCAGTTGTAGAGTAAGTTTAAATTCCTTTACAGTAAATATCAACTGTTCCTATAACGATGTTATTGTTGCTACCATGAATAAATTAATGTCATTGAGAAATCTCGGTAAACCCTCATTACTAGAATAAGTAGTTTTATAAAAAAACATAAAAACGAAAAATTTAAATGTTTCAACATGAAACATCTATCACCATAGTGATATTATAAAGAATTGTTGGTTTTGTTTTCCCAACAAAGAATTTGGTTTCATCAAATGCTATTTGGATTAGGAAATCTGATCTAACATGGATTTTAAATATTTTGGCCAGTTTTGAAGATAAGATAAGATATCAATTCTGTTTTCTGAAATTTTTGATTTTATATTTCTTTTTAATTTTCAAACAAGGGGGCTGTATACTAAAATTCCTATCCTAGAAAATGGTTGCCATTGGAGCGTATTGTGTCACTGGGATAAAACCTCAATATCCACATCATCCTCCCCCTTCTCCCAAATAAGCATTTATGTCATGCTCTTCTTCTCATTTAACTTGTAACCAGATTCTCATCTTTAAAATATAACTTAAATTTATGTTATTATAATAACTAACTTACTATACAAAAATTATCTTGTAACTCTATGAAAATTACATGATCTAACCACTTTGAAGACTTGGATAAAATCGAAAAGATAGTACAATGCATTCATCAACTTCAAACTGATTAGCTTGTAAAAAGAAATCATTTTCTTTCAAGGATAATGAATCGATGAGTAAATATATTAATGAATCACAGCATTGGGTAACTATCAATCATTCATCATCAGATTCTAAATATTTAGCATAATCTTCTGCAGATGCGAATAATGGGAGACTCTTTAATTTGTTTTTTTTACTCTTTTTGCTTTTGTTCTTACTATCTTCTTCAGTTTCGCTGTCGTCATCAAGAACTCTCTTCTTGGAGGCTTTATGATCAGACTTTCTGTTGGATTCTTCTTCTTCTTCCTCAGATGAGGTTAATTCATCCTCCTT